TAAGGATCTCCATCTACTTGTGTGCTGAGTAAACTGACGTTATAGTACAACATTTTACTCATCAGGTTCCCTGTGTACGTGTGCACTGAATAAACTGATATTATCAAACACCATATTTGTCAGGATCTCCATCTACTTGTCTACTGACTAAACTCCTGTTATCATACCATATCTTATTTATCAGGCTCCTTGTGTGCGCGTGCACTGAATAAACTGATATTATCATACCATACCATATTTGTAAGCTCTCTATCTACTTGTGTTCTGAGTATTTGCTCATGTTATCGTACCGTATTCTATTTATCAGGTTCCCTGTGTGCGCGTGCACTGAATAAACTGATATTATCATACCATACCTTATTTGTCAGGCTCTCTATGTACGTGCGAAAGGTGTACGCAATGACTTTCAAGACAAACTCCAGGCCGAAAGCGGCAGTCAGCACAATGTCGGTGATCCGCAGGACGGCCCACTCGGCACCGCCTTCCCGGATTCCCGGATGCTCCCACGCCATGGCCGCACAAGACACCACGATGAGGAAAAACATTGTATAGTCGAAAGCGTTGGTGGCCACTATGTCGTAGACTGCCCTTCTCATGGAGTTGTCCGGGGTAAGGAAGTAGAGGGAGACGCCGGCAAGGGGGGGAAATTCCGACTTGGATGCTGTTTCCTTGCCAGCCTCGCCTTCCTGCTGCTCGTCTGTTTTGGGCACCACGAAAGGAAGGCGTGGGATATAAAACGATTTTGAGGCTATAAAGCCCGCGTGATGGTGGCCGTAATGGATGATGTGTACGGGATGGTGAATTTAGAAAAACGGTGTGTCGTGGAAACAAACACAGGGGCAGTTCCGATATTTTATGTTGATTAGCGTATCGGTCTCCGGAGAGCTTTCCAAGAACTCTCAAGATCTGACTGTGCGGTGGCGGATGCGCCGCGCCAGAAAGTCTGTTTTGAAGTGCACCAAATTCACTGGTGTGCCTTCTACATTGATTACAATTGAAATGTTCTATTTGTGCACCTAAAATTGAGGTGTGATATCGCGTGGACTGCCACGTGATACTTTTCCTATTTTGCACCCCACGAGATCCATGCCAAGCACACAAAATATGATGAAGTGTTGATTAAATATTCATCACACATTGACACATATTCATCATACGTGACTGGGATGGCTTTTATGGGTCCCATGGATAGTTTTTTCAGCACTGTCTACTGAAGAGATTTTAGGTGTCTGGAAACTAGACATTGTCAAGGCGCTGCATGATAGCTATCTCTTCTGAATCTGTGCTTATCGCAGCGAGATTATAGCCATGCAGCTGAAAATATCCTCGTCCCCATGGAGCAGACCTCCGAAAAATAGGAAGGCATATCCACATGTCTCCCAAGAGCGCAGACACCTCGGCTCAGCCTTGTGGACATCATGCTACCGTCCTACATCTGAACGCAAGTACTTCATCGACTTTTTAAGCTTTCTCTGGCATTTGGAGCAGTGTCAAAGAAGTCAGACAGCAGTACGGTGGACATTTCTTTTTCGAGATGGCAAGAAGAATCCACCAAATTTACTTACCAAATTCATCGACTTCATCCTCCTTCCCATAGTTTGTTAGCTCTATCGCCTTCCTTGCGTATTTCGCCTCCTCTATTATGGCTTGTATTCGCGTATTCTGGGGGCCGCAACTCCAATTTTCAGAAATTCTCAGGTCATTGCTTTGATACTGAATATATTGAAGCGATATGCACATTGTGAACAGCTACGTAGACAGAAAATTATTTGCCAAAGCAGCTTGACACATCTGTTCACCCCCCATCCAAGCCCAATGAGCCTGTGTCGCCACCGCGGAGGGGACATGGAATGCATGGTGATCGCGCACGCACTGCCTTTGGCATTGCGCCAATCAGCGTCCATGGCTCGCCGATCCCTTCCAACGCGGATAGTTCGACACCACCACCGACACGGCTAAAGAGAACGCCTGGGTGCCGGCTCCAACAGTGTACAGTCAATTGGCTGGCACTTGCAATGCCAGTGCCATCTTGAGCGCCTCATCCTGGAACCCTCCAGAGGCGATGCCGAGAAAAAAAAATGCTCAGCATTCATTGGCCTGATTGCCGAGGAACTCGCAGCCCTAAGCCGACGATGAATCTTTAAAACAATGTAGCGGCAAATAAAGCAGGACTCGCAGGCGCTAAATTTCTGCTGTTGAATAGGCTCGGCGCCAAGGCGGCAACAAATTTGACTTCCAGATAATTGACATCAGTATGGAATAACATTCAGTGTCGGACAATGTGAGCATCAATTGTGCGTTGAACGGATCTCGCAACAAATGGCGGGTGCACGCCCTTCCCGCCACAACCAAGCCCCGAACAGCGCCCAGTTGAGAAATGACTTGAGCGCTCTCGGAGCTTGCACCTTACATAAATAAACGCACGTGAATTTATATTAGTAACCACGTCCCTGTGATGCAACATTGCAGGGTGTGGGCGTACTGATGCATGTAGGTATGCGTTTTGCGCACAACGGCGAAATTTCCACCTCTTGGCATCTGCACAGAGACGCGCCCACCTGGCAGATGCTCGGATCGAGGTCAAGGCTCCCCCTCGTGTAGGCCATGCTGGCCTCTTGATCGGCGCTGACGGTTGGCATTCTGAACAGCCTCAGCTGCTCCTTCGCCATCCGGCGCCTGTCCTTAAAGTCCTGGTCCGCATCTCCCCCCGGCTCGTCCCTCATCACCGAGTTGAGTATGCTCGGCACCCTGTGAATGTTCTTGGAAAATTTCCTGACAAACTCCTGCCCCTCATCCCCTTGCGTGCCCTCGCTGCCGGACGACAACGCCGCTGGTCCATTCCCCGCGTCTCCAGTGCCCTCCAGCGCTCCCTCCACCGGGCCTCCCTGGGGCGCATCCCCGGATGTGGAGTCCAGACTCTCGCACCCAATCGACAAACGGGCGTTTCCATGACCACATACTTCAGCTTCCTGGGCCGTGTCGTCTTTCTTCCGTCCGTCGCTCTTCTTCTGTCCTTCGCCCTTGTTCTGCGCGTCGTTCGTCGGGACGTCTCCAAGGCGACACGCATTCTCCCCGTTTACCTCCGCCGCGGCGAGGCCTTCCCCCTCGGGGCCCGCCTCCAGGGCGGAAGGCCCGCGCTGCCGCTGGCAGGCTCGGTAGTAGACGTCGAGGTCGTCGGCAGAGCCGTCGCTCGCCAGCAGCTCCTGCATCCATTGGTCCGTCGCCTCGCGGGTCCGAAACACCACAGATGGCTGCCTCATGACTTCCACCCCCGCGGCTCGTTCGTCAAACAAATCTTCCGCAGACTCCATTCCGCGGGGCGTGCCGCCGTCCGACCCACCCCGGCCGTGGGCTTGGCCACCCTCCGTCTCCATTCCTTCTCCCAGCGGCCTCCTGGAAGGGCACCCAGTCGCGACATCCTGCAGCGCGTTGCCGCTTCCAGCCGGCTTCCCTGTTTCTAATCCGCTCCCCGTGTCCTTCTGGAGCCTGGCGCTGTCCTCATCTGAGTTGGAGGCGTCCATGTGATGGCCCTTGTCCCCTCGCCCAATGGAATTTAGCTTCGTCACTGTTGGGCGCAGTGCAGGCAGCGAATCGCTTAGTGCTCGCTTTCCATCTCAAGCAAACAAACAAAAGAAAATCCGGCGGGATCGAGTGGATCGCCCAATGCGAAGAATCGCAATTACCACACTGCGCAGCAGCAGGGCTTGAAAGGCACAGCGAAGCGGCGGCAATGGCCAGTTGTACCGCCTGCCGATGGGACGATGAGACCCTTATGCTGAGGTAGGGATCCAGCAGTGTCACCATCGACCATTTTTGGGATGTATTATTAAAAATTCGGTTTCTGTATCCTAATTAATGAGCCATTTTTCACTCGCTGCCGTTCATACCATCGTTTACATTTCACTGTTCTACAAGAATGTGCGTCTGTGATAGGGGCACGGCGGCATGGGTTTCAATGGCCTAAAGGTTTCCAATGCCATCAATCCCTATCTGCAATAATGTGGAGATTGTCGCAAGTAGTGATTAATGCACAAGATTTGAAACAAATCTTGCGGTCCGATTTTGATCGTCCCAAAGTCCATAACAGAAACGAGCATAGTGTGAGATATCGCGGAGTCAATGAGTGCCATAATGTGCTGCAGTTTTGTCATGCTTGTGCTCAAGCCGGCGCAAGCCAGAGGCACCCAAAAATGCAACACTGAAAATTGATTGATTACCACATATTCGGCATAAGCTGGCGGAGGGCTGAGACCGCAGCTTATCAGCTGTGCATTAGTCCTGACTTTTCCGAAAACACCCCTCAGCTTTTCAATCTTCAAGGAGCCAAAATGGCTCTTCTGACAGCCTCTAGGGGTGGGCGCATTGCCTGCCACTGCCTAAAGAATCTACTTTTCAGACCTCTACGATTGAAGCAACGATGGGTGTCGTCCTCGAAGCCTACATGTTGTCTTTGCCATTACGTAATTTTCCGTACTAGCATCGACAGAAGAATATACGTTCAGATAGTGGAGGAAAGTTAAACTACATGCAATCCAACGTGAGCAAAGGTCATATAAAGGATATGCAAGTGCTCAGCATTGCCTGCTACCACAGATACCATGGCAGCCTGCCGGCATCAACACGAAGACTGCCGCTACGCACGTGGTGATTGGGTGGTGCGAGAAGAAGGTCAACGTCATTTTGAATTTAAGCATCACAATACCTCGATTCCGTACTGCGAACTCACTGGCGAGACACTCTGGGACCCCAAATACTCCCGCATAAGTAACTTAAATCTTAAGGTAGCATCCAGGTTGCGCACAGATTGTTCAGAGGGCTCATATTTCCACTGGAAAAGCGGCACAAGGCTCAGTGCTTCACACCAATTGCAGCAGCTGACAACTACAATGTCAGCAACTGTGTCCCTGGCATTTTTAATTAGAATTGTGAATTTTTATTAGGACTTCAAAGGTTATAGAACTGTGGATTCAATTTAGTTGTTCCCCACAGGCTGTTCGCACCCTTGTAAGCAATGTACGCCTCCGATGCAGCCTCCGCGTCGTACTTTGACTCGAAGGCTTCCAGTGTAACGGCCAAAAACAGAGTCAGAAAAATGTACTTGCCAAGGACGACCCATCCGATGAAGAAGAATACACTTCCGAAGTTTGTCTCGTGCATGAACGTGTACATTATGATCTCCCAGTCTTCTAAAGTCAGGACCTGGTCGATGATCCAAGCAAAAGAACAACATTGGGTTAATTGGCGGTGTCAATCCCCATTTTTTTTGCAGCAAATAACAGGCACAGTACATTTGTTTGAAAAGGGTTTATCAATTTTCAAATGTAAATGTGCAAAATTGATGTTACAGTATGAGTTTTTCTCACGGCTGTTTTATGAGATGAAATTCATATGAGCGATGCAGATGACAAGCGCTCAGGTAGTGGAGAGCCTCTAGCCATTGCTTCAAATGACCAGGAACGTGCGGCTGCTGCGCAATTGCAGCGGAGCTGGCTTAGCGAAATTTGCGAGAATTGATCCAAAGCAACCCATGCCACATACAGATCGACGATTTCGAGTTCTCGGCAGCTTTCCGGATATTCACATCATGCAAGTGCGGACTTACTCAGTGCTGATGGGCAACACTTAGCCAGCGTCGATCTGCCGTCGGTAACTACATGCACTTCCCTTGATTTTAAACCAGAAACCGACAGTCCAGCGCGGGTTGCGATGGCAAATTCGGCAGCAGCGCTCTTTATCAACTGTAAAGTCAGCTTGCTACACCGCATAACACGTAACGTGTATGTGTGCGTATACGTATGTTATGGCCACGGGAACGTGCTGCGATAGAAATTCAGCCAGGAAGCTGTACCATAGTTTATGTACCATTTGATCTTTATGAAGTTCACTGACAAAGTATGAAAGAATTGCTATGTGATTTCTGTCCACTCATATAGGCCATTAAATTTGCTGAAAATAGTGAACTTCAGAGACACAAAATGCCATGTATCTGTGGCATTTGTCCGGATATCCGATGTTCCACACCAAACATTCTCTTTCCCGGGATTCCAAAGTCGTACACCATACACTCTACTGCCCAATACTTCATACTGCCTCACACAAGTATAATAGTACATGACCTGTACATATATAACATGCGGCTGCAATACGGCCTGCTCCATATCCCCTCATACCCAGATTGGCGACACAAAGGAAAATTAAATTCCTGTCTGGGGAAGATTGAAGAAGCTTTCTGTTGGTAAAATTGTGTGCAACTTTTATTCGGACCGCCAAGTCGTCACACTCACATTGAACATGACTATGACGGAGTTCAGGAACGAGTTGAAGTTTGGGAATTCGTCCTGCGGTACGACGCCGCCGTACAGGTGCAGGCCCACAATCGCGAACACGACCATGAAGAGGAACATGAGCAGCACGATGGCCATGAAGGATGACGCGGAGGACAGCAAGACTTCGCCTATCTTCCTCAAGGACTGGAGGTAGCGAAACATCTTGAACAGGCGCAGCACCCGGAAGCTCTTGAGTATCTGGAAACTTCGGAAGGACCTACGTAAGTGCGCGGCAGATTTGTGACAGATGCCTTACACATTGAAGTGCTGTATGTGTTGCATGTGTGAATAACCACACGTGGCTGTGCCACGAGCCAATATGCCGCGCATGATGCTGTGCGTAGGAAGCCTTGCCCGTTGGCTTCAGACGACGGGAGACGTGGTCAGGCGGACTCGAAGGCTCACTTCATGGCCAATAGAACGAGGGAAGCATGAAATTGATCGGAAACGACAAGATATTGGGGCATATTATCAGCACATCTGAGATATGAGATAATTTGCGCTGTTGCGGAAGCTGTGTTCAAAAATGGAAATGCCACACCGCAGGCTCGTGCGACGATGCCAGTGGTGTTCATGTGTGAAATCCGCAGTGCCCTACATGGTACCAGCATGGCGCCGTGCCAGAGTCATATCATTGGAGCAAAAGATGGCGTTGTCGCTGGGGGTATGTGAAACAGATCGATTGGCCGAAGGATCGACGATTACCTGTTTAGCGAGGCAATTTTTTGCACCACTGTCTCATTCATTGAGTTCAGCAACATATGTTGGGGCCCCACCTGAATGCCACAACGCCGCTCCCCTGTTCGAAGACAATCTCCAGCAACGCCAAAGTGACAATGATGGCATCAAAAATATTAAAGTTGTCGCTGACGTATTCCCAAAAACCGAGGCCAATGAATTTAAGGATCAGTTCAATTGTGAAGAGGGCCGTGAACGCTATGTTGAAAGTCGCCATCACCTCCTCCATCTTCTTTGGCATGCCATCGTATTCGAGCGCCAGAAGTACTGTATTCAGTATTATGCAGGTTAGGAAGAAATTGGAGAATTCTTTGCGCAACACCGACCACCGTATTAGCCTGTACAGCCGCCTCCACTTCTTCCCAAAGTAAAGCGATATTTTCTTCCATCCGGAGCGCTGTACCTGGAGCGCAGACACCGAAAAGCCGTCAGCGCCAGAGCAAAACGGATGGTGGGAAGTTGTGAACAACCCTACGGCAGCATCACTAAATGTCGATGGTTGCATTTGACCACATCGTTTCGGGAGAGTGCGGCACAACAGAACACGTTAACTACGCCCTTGTGTCGATGTCAGATTGGACACACAGCAGCCTACTGCCCACAGGATTGATCTGCACTTTGGCGCAAGCATCTTTCAGAAATTGTCAATGCTTCAAGCTCTAAGGCTGGCTATATACATTTTGCTGTGCACGCGCGCTTTGACAGGGAGGAAGCTTTTTGGAGGTCTTGAGCAAGCTTCCTCCCGTTCAAAGGGCGTGTGCACAGCAAAATGTGCAATACCAATGCTTCCGTCCTTATACTGTTTCCGTACTTTACGAATCCTGGAAGCTGCAAATTTTGGAACTATTTAGAGGTACGTATTAACACCAGAAATGCACTGGACTGGACAGGCTCTGCATCCACTTTCCACGAAGGTGTCTCCATGCTGCCACCATTTTGAGCGACGCCATGCGCCAGACGCGCTTCCTACATTTAGACTTCCTGGTATTTCGATGTTCTGATGTTCCAAGGTGGATGCAGTGTGTCCCACCTCCCTGTCTTCGCTCCCAAACGATTCAATCAGGCTCCTCCTGATATTGGAGGACAGCCGGCGGAAGTCCAGAGAGATGCGCTGCCTGCTTTGAGCATCTTGGGCCAGCCTCTCAGCTGAGAATTCCTTCCAGTTGTCCATTGTCCAGTCCAGAAAGCGCTTGATGGTGTTCTTCCTCTGCTCCGTGGACACCTGCACCCGCGTCTGGAAGAAGGATTGGGCCTTGCCGAATTTCGTCTTCAGCACCGCCAGGAACAGATTCACCTGCGAAGGTAGGCTCACGGTTCTGTCTGACAACGGAATGCTGCCGAACATGTTGGTGAATTGAACGCAATGATGTGGGCACTAGTCGTGTTCATGTCTCAAATCGCAATGACGATAATGACAACGATGAAAAGACCTATTTGTAATATTGTTTTGCTGATAGTTATTACTGGTGTGTTGTAAATATTACAGGTACTATTTGGATGAAGCAACCGATCACCGCAGCACAGATTGGTGCACATCTCTTTCACTGCCTTATCTCTAGACGAACTTGGAACCGAGAAAAGTAATTGAAATTTGCGGTCGTGTGCAAATAGCAATTCAAGTTCGACTTTGCACCAAATTGCAAGTTTCAGTCTATCAGGTGAAGTTGTCCGACGTTGTGATACATTAGCCTTTAGTGTATCGCATCACCAAAGCACAGACATGATCGCAATGGCACGCGCCAAAAGATGCAACTTTACATTTTCCGTCGAAATCCATTTTGTGCACACAAAAATTATCCTTGCCCCATCTTTCAGTTGTATTCCGCATGTTTTCCTAATATTTATTCTGCTGCTAGAATGTGGCGCAGGCACTCACCACGAAGTAAGACCCGAATAGAATGAGAAAAATGAAATATGCGATGCTGGCCGGGTTGCTTCCGTCAATCACCCTGTACATTACGTAAGACCACCCTCCCAGCGTCGTGCATTGAAAGACGGTCAACATGCTGGCAGCAATGTTGTCGAAGCCGGCGACGACAATGCTCGTGGAAGTAGAAAATTCCTGGGGGCGGAAAATTCATTCAAAATTCAGATTAAAGCGGAAAACCTAAAATGAAGTGAAAATTTTCAATGAAATGAAACTAAAATTACTATTTATGCAAGGGCACATAGTCAAGAACATGCTTGCAACTGGTGTATGCATATTATATGCAAAATATGTCAAGACTACAAGAACATTAATGTTGCAAAATGTGCACACTACTTGAAAAGGCAGGTGTACAAGTGGGTGAAAAATGTGGTAATGTGCACGCGCTTTGCAATAGGGCGTGCACATAACACAGGGGATAGAATTGGGGATTATATGTTCCGCTTGCAGTCAGGGGCTAGCGCGGTCGCTTTGTCACTGTGATATTTCGCTTGGGACAACGCCCCACGGATAGACGGACCCAACAGCGTGGGGCGAGGGGTTTAAATGGTAGTGCCACTTGCATGGAACTCAATTTGCGGACAGCTGCCAAAACAACGCGCACCACGAGCCTTGAGGTGGAACAACGGCTTGAAGGATTGTCCGATACCTGTCGTTACCGGATATGAAGGCCATGAAGGGGGCCATGAAAGCCGTGAAGGGTACGATAGACCTAAATCATGAGTTCTGAATTCTAAACGCCCTCAACCCGAAAATGACCTTCATGGCCTTGACGAACTTCATGACTTCGTGTTCGCAACTGGGTATTGGACATTTGTGACGGCTTCAGGCATGTAGACCCAATTCAGCAAGCCAAATTTCAGGTGTCAGAGATGTTTCTGGTTGGAGCCACGGCGCCCCGAGGGGCCTGTGTATCCCCAGCCTGTACACAACAATAGTGCGAGGATCGCAACGCCCAACTTGCTCTTGAACCCCAGCGAACGAGAACAGATAAAAATGTCGAAACAATCTGGAAAACATCGACGCAAAAGAAACAAAGATCAGTCAGACCGAAGCCCACGTGCACCCATTAGAACGCGCTCGTTCCAAATGGCAGTGCTATTGCCTTGGCCGCAACCCTGCGGCTTGAAGCCACGCCCTCTCCAAACCAGCGAGATGTTATGGACGCCTCCAGCCTGGTAACGAACGTGCGAGACCATCAAGAGGCAGGGGCCAATGAGCGGAACGACCAGAGCGTACTTGTGGGTTTCGATGCTGCTGCGATACAAGAGCCCTGGTTGTCGCTGCACACACACTGTGTCAGACCGTTGCGGACCTCACACAGTCATCCGCAATCAGTCTGTCATCATCATCACTAATTGCTGACTCACCATAATGAGTAACCCCACCAGGCCCACCATGCAGGAGGCGACACCGCGCCCTTCCCGGTGGCCCAGGCGGCCGCTGGCAAGGACGACCGCCACCACAACAGCCACACAGCGGAGAACGCCGCCTCCGGGTAAGCTGGCCCTGGTGGCACGCCACCGCAGCTGTGCGCACCGTGAGTGCATCCCACCTGACGCTTGGCATCCCTCCCAATTCTGCTCAGAATCGTCTGTTCAGCAGACGAAGCAAGGCCCCTGCATGTGCAGGCGACCTTCGCGTGCTTTTGAGCGACGTCTCAAGGCGCGGTGCCTGGCCGCTGGCGCTGCGTGGGTTGTTTCGGAAGCAGACTGGTTTTGAGCCGTGGAGGCACTGACCGCGTGGCAGGCCGCTCGCGGATTGGCCTACTGCGCCACGGGGGGTCGTTGCGCTTCCGACGCACGACCCGGCCCTAGGCGATGCTGTTTCAGAGGACTTCCGCTGTGCGCAATTCCCGATTATAGATTTCGTGCAGCGCCTGCTTGGGGCCAAGTGATGAGGGGCGTGGGCAGGGATGTCGCAGCCCTCTGGTCCTTCCATCTGCCACCGTGGCGGAGATAAGTGCTTCTGAAGAAGTGCTTCCATGAAGTGGTGTAAGTGTTCTCGAATAAGTGCTTCTGAAGAAGGGGGGAATCTGCACGGGCTGTCTCCAATGCATCGCCACGCACGGGCAGAGGGCTTCTCAACGACGCCCGCCAAGGCAGAAAGCAGCGAGAAGACGCATGTGGGGTGGCTGTGCATGCACAGAGCGCCCGCCTTGCTCCATGGTGAAGGGCTTCGCTGGCACCGTGTTGCGACGTCTGCATCTTTTGATTCATGGATGGCGTTCATAGCGCCGGCGTGAAGTACCTGAGGTACTGCTATGCGCAACCTCACTGGGGCTTGAATCAGTTCAAGCACCCCCGTGGAGTGTTTGCATCTGGCAGGGGGCATAATTTCTGGATTGTCGATGGATTAGGGTGCATCGACGGGGCTTGCAGGAGTACAAAAGAGTTCACATTGGCGCGAGGGTTTTTCTGGCCCCTGTGCTCCTATGCAGTGCCCAGAAGATCGCATCGCTGCATCACTTTCTAGATCGCACGACAGTTCCAACAAAAAGCTTCACTTAATGTACGGTAGTCTGGTCGTCTCTTATAACACATCTGGAGGGAATGACAGGAGTGCTTGGATGGGTGCACTCAGATCACAGGCAAGGGGATGAAGTCCCTTGAACTTCTGACTGCGCTGCAACCCATCGACTGGAGCAGGGCTGATACGGTCACAAATCATGGGAGCATGTCACTAGCTAGTTTGCATGTGCTGAGGCGGTTGGTCTTGAGAGGATGCTCACAAGCTACAGTTCGTGTCCCAGGGCACTTGTTTGGTTAGATGGAAATCGCCGGGAAGTGCATTAGCTCCATTACGAAATGGGTTCAGGATTTGATTTGACAAGCAGCACAACTTTCATGCGGTTGCTAGAGAACCTAGGGACGATGGCGGTGCTGACGAATCTTTATCTGCAAGGATGCAGAGATCTCTTGCTCAACAGCTTAAGGTTGTCGGTAGAACTTACACAGCAAGTTTGCCATGATGCTGGAACCTTAAGCTGTCGCCGAACAGCCTGGGGCTACTGGCACTACATGAAGAGCTCTGCTTGGTGGAATGCACGAATCTCAGAGCGTTGCTTGACGGCTCGGGTTCATTAATGCAACTGTCAGAGCTAGATTTGCTTGGATGCACAAATCTAGTTGCTAGGTGGATGATTGCATTGCGTACCTGCTGGACGGTCTGGGTTTGCTGGACTAGGTTGTTGTCCTCCATTGACTGTGAGTGTGATTCCACACATTTACAGCATGAGGTCCTTGGCAGCTCATGAGCAGATGCATCAATTCAGGTGTGTTGATTGATGCAACGATTCTTACACCTCTGGAGTCGTGTGCATGCATTTCTGCGCCGTGGATGCCGCAAGAGTCAAGAATCCAAATCCACCATATTCATGAACATAGGGCTCTTCTTTTGGTTGAAGGGCAGTGATGTTGAGAACTGGGAGTTCGTTTGCCCATAGCTGAAGGTGCAGGAATTTTTGCCACAGCTGTTCTGACACCTGTAATTGGCAGAATTAACAGGCCATTCCTGTGTGTTCCTGGGAGGAAATCCCAGCTTGTTGCAGATTGTGCTTGTGTTGAAACTTTGGCGACATTCCAAAAATCTGACTTTGACAATCTTGCCATATGCCAAACCGCACACCAAAATGTGCGAGCGCAACTACGCAACGGGCTGTCAGGCGCAACAGGGCTTTGAATTTTCTGCTAACCCTTTGAGGCATGCCAATTGCAGTTTGTGCAGATGCCTTACCTGACACGTGTAGTTCTGAGGGCACTTTCTGCTTCCGCCACAGCCCATTTCGTCGGGACTGTTGCCTGCTGCGACCTCCAGCTCTCCCGTGGTGGTGTGAGCGCAAGCATGGTGGTACACATTCATGAACATCTGCGTCCCGGCGATGGCGAATAGGAACAGGAAGAAGATCAGGAGACCCACGACGGACACGAGGAGGGGGAGGGCCTGTGTGGTGACACACGCACAGTATAGCAAACGCCGGGGAGGGCACCAGTGTTTCTTTGAAAAACTTCTGGTAAACGCGCGTTTTGGAGAAGGGCCATGAATAATAAGTTATGCTCAGGTGAATGGATGTACCGCAAATTTCCCGAAAGAATGTTAGTGGCGCAGATTTCGCCATTTTGCGCTGTTTTGGCGATGGCATTATTAACAATGATTAGCTGCCGTTAATTTACTATAGCTTGGTGTTGTCGACATGCAATAACTGTTGTTGACGTTGCTTTAATGCAGAGACCCGGATATAAGCGGGAGAGAATGGCGCAATTGCCACGAACTTGCTCAACATTTTTTTCCCACTCGCAGAGTCGGAATGGTGGGTTCCGTTGAGAAAGCTCTTTGTGCCCATTGCGCTTGCACACGCACGCCGACAACACATGTCTCACAGCGCATTGCCCTTCGGCATGCGCATAAACAGCTGAAATCTGTGGCAAGACACAGCTCGAAATTGGCTCAGGCAAATTCAACCGTCCTTTGAAGAAATTCCGGTCGTGAAACGGAGGCGCTGGCCATGATGGAAAATATGCGTCGCCACGTGGCAACGAACGTTGCCGGCATTGCATGCAGGCAACCCGTCAGCAATGTACACCAACACCACCATCATCGCTATTTCTACGTAACGAGGCAATGAGGTAGCCGTTAGCTTCCAATTTTGCCCGAGCAAAGCAGTGTCTATGATCGGTCTATTAAAATCTAATGTATAACACAATCAAAGCAATGCACACCCGCACGCCCCGGCGTACCTCAAGGAAACACACCACCACCGACCTCAGCGACTGGAACCTGGTGATGGTGCGCAGCGGCCGCACAGCCCGCAGGGCTCGCAGCGCTCGGATGGACGACGTCCCTGAAGTGCTGTCGCCGACCGGAAGGAACACGGTGTAGCCGGCGAGCACCATGACCCCGTCGAAGAAGTTCCAGGACTCCCTGAGGTACTGCAGAACGCCGCCGGCCGCCAGTATCCTGATGACCATCTCCACCGTGAACATGACGTTGAAGGCAAAATCTAACAATCAGGAGAGTCTCGTGATCAAAATCTGGTAATGACGTGTCAGTTTCCGGAGCTCGCAAGGACGTAAATAGGCGTGCTTTCCTGCGTGAGTGCGGCTGTTACGACCAGGCTTGTTATTTACGGTGTAAACACAGACTATATTTGCGCGTGTTTACGAGTTTTTACGTCAAGATACGCAAATGCACGCTGTGTTTGCGCCATAAATAAAGTGCTTGGCTGCGACGCTGCACAAGAAATGTGTTGCTTGTCAGGGAGGCGATTCCGCCACGCAATGTGTCTCGCAGGGCTCGGCTTGCAGAAGTTTGAATGGCGACTTTTGGGGCCTAATTGTGACGTTCCTCTGCCACGATGCTACAAAGCTTTGGACCCATGACCGTTTTGAGATGGTCGGTTTGGCCTGTGCACCCTTGGCGGCCGCGACACACTCTTTAGCTTAACGTGCTGGCGACTTGCACGCCACGCGCCCATTGACGTAAGCCTAGCGCATGCATCTCGCACATCAATCGGACACAAGTATCTGTTCATGGATTCAGCCGTCGGATATCAGCATTGCTAATTCAGTAACTGCATGTATTTGACACAGTGCATGCCACCCATGAAACAGGAGTGCCAGACGCAGAATTCATGGCAAGATACGACGATAAGTAGCAATGAGCTGAATATGCAAATGCATAAAATTTTTATCGAAATTGATAAAGGGGGCTGACGCGCACACTGGGGCATTCAAAACTGCTAGCTGCAGGTAGCATTTCCCACCCATAGAGTTCCGCCACCATGGATAAATCGCTTGGGACGCGCCGAGCTTCATGACAAGGCCAGTGGTGAAGGAACCAAGCGACGAAACATAACTAACATAACACAATAAATAAATAAACAATTTCGTTGATAACACATTATGTCTTGATGCAATGTTGGTGTTTCCACCAGCGGCGTTCGGGAATTTGCAAGCGCACCGAGTTGGTTGAGGACGTAATTCCTCCTGGAGTCGTCCGGTTTGTTCGGGTCGAACAGCGCCAGTGAGACGCAGTTCCCCAGGATGAGTATGATGACCAAGAGCTCGAAGTCCTCGTGCTTGCTGATGGCTCGGAAAGTCGACTGCACGGCCTTCCTGCAGGACCCCAGCGGGGTGCGGAGACTTCTAACTGCGGCAGCATTCACAGTGCGCACTCAGAAAGCACCGGAGCCCAGTGGGACACGTCAGCAAGAGTTCCGGGACTGCTCAAGCCAACAGGTCGCCTTCGATGGCGTGTAGCTTGAGGTTGTCTGGAAATTTCAGAATAAACGTGCGTTCCTCGGTGCTCTGGTCATGTTAAAGAGCGAGCAGAGAAGGGATTGGGTAGGTAAAGTGGGGGTTGGAGGCTTTTTTGGGTGCGCTGTAAAAGCTCGTGTGCTGTGGCACTGAATGAGGCAAGCAAGTGCGAAGAAAGAAATAAATTCGTCCAGGTGGGGCAGGGGCGCGTCGGGCTGTGTGAATTTGCGACGGAAAGCAAAAGCCACTGCACATGTTGTTGACCTCAAAAATCAAACCAACACATTGGCTGAAACCATGCCGTTTTGGTATCAAAACGGCACCCTGTGAGCTTCAGCGAATTGCTCTGGGTGTATGGCCAATTTTTGCTCAGTGCCCCGCTCTTCGGCCCCTTCATTTTGTCGATGCAGCTCTAATTTTCTACTTCGCAAACAAGATGGTTAACTGACCTCTTCTGATATCCCTGGTGACATGCAACAGGGCCATTCGCCATTTGACGTGAAAATTAGGCTTCCCCACGTTCCGCTTCGGCGACTCTTGTCTGATGACTGAAGACCTGTGGGGCGATCAGCAGGCGCACTTCAAATTGCGCCACACCGCATTTGTTCCAATCGCACAATGTCGTGGCTTGGCAAACGTCAATTCACTGTCTATAAAGTTCAATTGGCTGCGATTACTCGTAATTTGAGTCTTCAGTCCGCCATGGACTCACGTGCCCGCACATGCGTCTCATGGCAAAGAACTCTCAGACAAGTATGTCGATGGAATCCTGTCCGCATGACCAGCCGGGGCATTTGAAGCCTGACTGACAGAAATGAACAATTTTGAAAACTGCAACAATAGAAAAGAACTGTAACAAATAGAACAAATAGATTCATTCCCCCAGGGAGATAGAACATAAAGAAGAGAGCATTGCCGCCATAGGCGCTTCATCCTTCACCTTTTGGCAACCACGTGTTCTTCCTTCTGGCTGGATCTGATGCTCTTCTTGCCCAGTTGGCCTTCCAGCCATTTCAAACGCTGGTGCTCGTCAATCCTCGCTTGCTCGTCGTCATCTTCTGAGCTCTGCACAACTGGAAGAGCGCACAGCCACGCACGCAGCTCGAAGGATGCCTTATTGTGCGAAAGCGTAATCCTGTTGAATGCGCGAATGTTGCATGACCGCGACCGCGCACCGCCACACATTTTGTACGGCACAGTCTCTGGATGGACAAGCTCTGAATGCAAGGAGCTTGGGCCAAGGGATCTCGTCAAGCTCTTTCTCTCATCGGCATTGGGCGACCGTGCATCGAAGAATGGCCCAATTGACTCGCCAAGAGGGCACCCGTGACCATCTTTAGATTAGTGTCTCCAACAAGCACAGTGTCGTAAGAAATTCCCTATTAGAGGGGCGCCATGGAGAGAGAGTTGACGCAAGTTCGACGGTGCTTCTTGGCGCAGGGTAGACAGGATAAGACGCTGGCGCACTGTTGCGCAAGGCGAAACTCACTGAGCAACAAGCAAGCATGGCTTGATTGATTTTTTTCATGAACGTTTGGATGCATGGAATATGGGTTTAGATTCATCATCAGGGCTGTATATTATCTGGTCCACCCTTGGCAGATGTTCTTTCCCTTTGTGATACTCAAAGGCAGTCGAAGCGGAAATCCAACAGCTATCCAGTTCCTGGCGTCTTGCCGCATTCGGCGTCCAGGTTTCGGGGGTGTCATTTGAGAAGTTAAGCATTAGCACACCGACACCGTGCCCCACAGCAACGCAAAGGGTAAAATGGGGAGCACCTCACCGGGGCTCGCAAGCTCACTGCGCTAGGAAGGAAATGCCAAATAACGCGTGTTCCAACGTCTACAAAGTTCGCGGGTTTGGGTTATTTTCGTGCCTTAGCGTGTAGAACATTGGTGAAATGCATTTCATATATCAGCAAAAGTGCTGGTTGGTCCCTTTTTTGCTAATGCTGGTTTGCGGTGAAGCTCGTGCTCTCCAAGCCCCACACACGTACACCGGGTTAGGAAACAGCTGCTTCACTGGCAGTTTTCAGCAGGGGACTACAGCAGATTAGCAGGCCAAACTGGGGAAGCATGGGAGGCAAAATGCCATTGAGAGGATCTGTGTGTTCAGTTAAAAGATGACGAGATTCTGACACCTTTCAGCTTTTGGAAGCTGTTCCCGAGGCGCTTCAGCATCCTGAGCTCCAGCATCTTGTCCAGGGCAGTCTGCTGCGCCTTTGTGTAGTCGCGATGCTGCTTCTCGACATCCGACTCTTGCAGGTCCGAAGATATCGCCTTGGCGAGGCCCCACCCCTTTTTCTCGTCCGCCATGGGAGAGCGCTGCAGATACCCCACGTGCGTAAGTGCCCAGTGCAGAGCGCGTCTGGAAACTGGGGACAACACTTGGTGCAGAATGCATTGATATTAATATCCACTTCGAAGCATTATTTGTATTAATGCCAGGTTAGCGTTAGAGACAGTGTTACGATACGCAGTGTGCAGGACGGGCTCTGCCACATTCCCTGCATTCACCCGCTGAACCATACATACCGTTGACATACATCAATGCGACCACAAGTCTTCCAGGCTGCGGGATCGCCACGCGTATGTTCAACTAGGTTGCTCTGTCTCGTGAGGAGTTCCACACGCTGTGGGCAGGCTGTTTTCGGAAATGAACAGCTGCTGTTCAACGCGCCTTCGGTCTGAAAGGCGTTTTGGGTAAAGAAGCAAGAGGCCAACTACTGTACAGTACTTTGCTGTACAGTTTTTTAATTAAAAAACAGTCTGGCAGCGGGCATTGGCTTGCTTGTGCCATTTGTCGATGAGCCGCATCCAGGCAACTTCCCGCCCTTGGGCTGCGGCGGCAGTCTCTCGCGAACTGTGTCCGCCCACTGGGACCAAAGGTCACGCTCCCTCACATCTGCGCCAACTGTCCAATTTGCAACAATTGGTGCTTCACGGGGCTGAGTCTGCAGCACCAGCTGTGATGGGATACTGCCCCAGTTGGGGCATTCCATCGGAGTTCTTCCCGCTGTTTCAAGGCACGCTGGCCCTGAATTGCTTCGATAAGGGCTCTGAAGGCTCGAGCAAGACCAGTTTTCCCAGCCAGCCGTCTGAAACATCAGCTTCGGCGTTGACTTGGCGGTTACCTGTTGACCTTGTCAAACTCTGGCCGCCCCCTTGGGGCCGCCCTTTGCGCCCCGCCGCCAGCCGTCAGCGCCGAGCCTTAAGCACATCGCCCTCCCGACCTCCGCAGCCCTCGATGGAGAACCTTTGCCAGTTTTTCGTGGTGCTGGCCAGCCAGGGGCACCAGGTCCGGTCCATGGATCGCGTGTGTGGGGTCGGCTCAGGCTGACTTCCGTTGACGCTCTTGGCTGTTGCGACCCGGCCTGTGGTAGGCCAGGCCGTTGCGACGACAATGGCGCTGATGGCCGGTGGGCAGAAAATCCGCAGCAACAGGGTTTGGCATCCCTGCCCATGATGAAGCTCCTCATTGGGACGAAAGTCGAGTACAAATCAACGAGATGGGAGATAGGGAATTGGGCGTTGCTTCAACCACCGCAGCCATCAGCACAGGGACAGGAGGGTGGTCCCTGCAGAAAGGAGTTCATTCGATGCAACGTTGCAAACACGCATCATCATCATCATCATCATCATCATCATCATCATCATCGGAGACCTTTCTACAACTGTGGTCACGCAAATGGCGACTGTCCTTCAGCACAGATAAGTGCAAACTCTTGGCTATTGGCAGGAAGCAACTCCCTCTTCCATCCTTTCACATTGGAGAGACAGAACTTGATTATGTACCATCCCTCAAATACCTTGGGGTTTGGTTCGATTCAACGCTCTCCTGGCGGGAACATATTCGCCGCACATCTGATAAGGCCCTTGCCCGATTGAGAGTCCTCTGTTGGGGGATGAAGACTACATGGGGGTTTCATCCGATCATTGCCCGCCGGATGATTGATGCTACCATCCTCCCCATTTTGTTCTGTGCCGCCCCCATCTGGTGCACAGCTCTCCGATCCACCACCACCTTGGCCCCCATTAACCGGGTACTTCGTCAATGTGCATTGGCTACCATGGGACTGTACCGCACCGTATCTACGGATGCGGCTTTGTTCATTGCGGGCATTAAGCCCGCTGACATTTACATCCGACAAAAGCTCCTGGACTTCTACCTCAGGGAGCTTTCTCCTACAATCGGAGCTCCGTTATATCGCGCACAAGTCCCATATTACTCCCGAAAGCCTTTGCAAGGTGGAGACCTCTCGATGGTGGTACGAAGACCCGGTTGAACCTGAGTGGCTTCCCAAGCCTCACTTTCTCGATCGAGACATGGCGGTTACCTTTGTGAAGGAACAACGTCTCATCCGATCCGGAAGATCTTTGGATTTCCACGGATGGCTCACTCATTCAGGAACATTGTGGATCGGCTGCTCTCATATATCGAGGACCCTCTATCACACCCCAAATATATGGTGTACACTTTCACGGCTTCCATTCAAGCACACAAACAGAACTCCGTGCCATTGAATTGGGATGTGAGAATGCTTCCATTGGAACAACATGCAAGTGTGCCACGATCGTCTCTGATTCGCAGGGTGCCCTCCTTGCTACTCAAAAACGTCAGGGAGCTTCAGTGCTTTCTGTGCGTGCCCGCGAAGCGCTTCGACGCTTGTCCACTCGCGTCACAGCAATTCGCCTTCTATGAGTACCGGGACATGCAGATTTACCCGAAAACGAGCGGGCAGATTTGATAGCCAAGGCGGCAGCACTGGGCTCCTCCCCATCAGCCCAGAGTTCCGAGACTACCCTCATATCCCACCCTTATCCGCTCGTCACTGATGCCCCGCATTCCCGAACCTCCCTAAAACGTATTCTCCATCACCACTACGCTTGTCGTTTTGAAACCCAATACACCAACACTCGCCACTACCACGACGAGCTCCAATTGCCACCACACTTCTCTCCTTCCTTAAAGTGGACTCAATTGTTGACTAGGAAGGAAACCGCCCTGGTGGCTCAATTTCCACCAGGGCACTTTCCTGTGAATGCCTACCTCTTTCGCTTTCACCTTCGAGACGATCCCAGTTGTTCCTTTTGTGAGAGTGACTATTGTGATCGTTCTCACATCCTTTTCTCCTGCCCTAAATTTGAACACTTGCGGCAGCAACTCACTAACGACGTACTGGATCGCTCCTCCGGATGCGGTTCGTGGTCGTGGGACTTCTTGTCCTCACCACCGGGTCGCCCCTACCTCGCGCGCTTCCTGATTCGTGCTCATCGTGCTCTGATGGCCATCCGCTGACGATTTTCTTTCGACATCGCAGAGGGACAATTTTGGTGCTAACTTCGTGACTCCAGAATGGGCTCAGCGGGGATTCTCTGGCACCACTTCCCATGGGTGCCAATCGACATGGGATTGAATGCTCAATGAAGCTAATGACGACACTGCATTCTGGGCTCGTTTGATTGACATTCTGGATCCTACGGGGCTTTACGTTTCTCTACAAGGACTCTAGAACATCTGGACTTGTGGAATATTGGGACATGGGAGCTTTTGGTAACTTTGGGATTCTAGGTTTTGGGGATATTGGGACATCGGATACATTCCTGCTTACGCTACATTCTGACACTAGACACCACATTCTGATGACTCTATTGCTCCCAGTCAGCAGCCACCTCTTCACATGAATCTCTCTCTACATGGACGTCTCTTTACTTTGCTTCTGACCTACATCGCCGAAAGGTGGCACAGGCTGTTGACATTATGTTTATGCTGCTGGGAGCGGAGTTGGGTTTAGTGAACGCTATGTAACTAAGGAATTCATCATCATCATCATCATCATCATCATCATCATCATCATCATCACCATCTTCTGATGACTCTATTGCTCCCAATCAACAGCCACCTGTGTACATGAATCTCTCTTTACATGGACATCTTTTTACTTTGCTTCTGACCTACATCGCCGAAAGGTGGCACAGGCTGTTGACATCATGTTTATGCTGCTGGGAGCGGAGTTGGGTTTAGTGAACGCTATGTAAGTAAGGAATTCATCATCATCATCATCATCATCATCATCATCATCATTTTCACAGAACAAGACAATGAGTTAGCCACCAGCATCCTATTTTGCCCAAGCAAAACAGTGCCCATGACGAGTTCATTCAAATCGAACGATAAACACAGACAAAGGCTGTGAATCTATTAACTCCGGAAGCCAAGAAGCGATTGTCGATGATAATACACCAAGAGAACTGTCCTCGCCAGTTGACGAGCAGGAACCGATGCAAAAAGCGTTTTTGCAAGCACGCATGCAACCGCATGAGTGTGCAAGATCTCTTGACTGAGAGGAGCTCCACTTAAAACGCTCATGCATGATGCCATGCCACATATGTGGGCTGGAAGTGCTGCGGTGAACAGGCGTGGCTGCAACACAGCTAGGCAATGATATCTTTGCGCGGCCATCGATGGCGCATTGAGGTGCAAGACGAGAGCCTGCAGATGCGGTGGCCAAGTTGTCATTGTGCAGTAATAATGCATTTCGTTCCAATCGTGTCACTGAGACGGATGGGCGTGGACATGCATTCTGGAATTATGGAGCCTGTGCCAGTTGGAACGAAGCGGATACAGAAAAGCACCATCTGTGCTTGGAGCACACCGCCAGTGGTGCGCCTGGATCGCTAACCGAGTCCATGATCCCCACATCCACGTTGCCTTCGCCCTGGCTCATCACAATTGCGGGGTTTGCGCAGATGTGGTTTCGACATACTACCTTCCGCATCCTGTCGGTGAACCTTGTCGATCACGGCCAAACGAGTTGTAATCAAAATGCTTGATCATTACAACAGACCGAACTTGGGAGCCTTGGGGTTGTACAGCTCCCAGCGACCTATTCTAAGCCCACCACCCATGTCACCGCCTCGATAATAGAAAAAGCAGGGCAGACACATCTGCTTCCCACAAAATCTCCCTGGAAGCTTCCGCTGACGGGAGGAGCACTGTGCCAGCAATGCGTCTGAGGTCAACTCACTCGCCCTTTCCATGGCAGCTGGCGCCGCACCCAGCATTGTTCACCCGCAACTCTGGCCTCACCCCCTACCGCAACACCCAAAGTCGCTTCAAGTCTATACCGTTCCCCGCAATGGTCCCACAGTGGCATCTCCCACCATTTCCTGCTCCCCTCCTGGCTGCAGCCTGCAGCCTTCCGTTTCCTCGACGACTCGGGGAGAGCCAAATCTCCAACGCTCTCTATACACCAGTGCTGGGGGCAGTTGGCGCTGATGACGTGTAGCGCCCATCCAGCAGTGCCAACGTGTTCAGGGCTCCTCTGCACAAAACACCACACAGCGGTGCTCATCTTCATCGAGGCAAGCACTGAATGCCATGCTATTTAGCTCAGATCTCAGGCTCTTTAGTGACTAGCCTGCTCTAAAATCCCAACCAATATACCAAAATCCCTGAACCAATCGAGAACTTGAAATATCACCAAGAAAATACCAAAATAACTAACAAAACCAAGAAACTAGCAACTGACAAAACTGCTAAAACGCCCATGAGTGCAGCCATTACATGCCTACGTTACTTTTTCAAAAATGGTGAGCTGTTAGAACGCCATGAGACAGAACGTTGATGAAACCATCTTTGACAAAGCGTGGGAACCAATTGTGTCATGGGTTGGAGATTCCCTGGGCTGCCTTTATTTGGTTTCTGCAATGCCATCGCACTGTTGCCCCACTCAACAAATTCTCGATGGAGTCATCAGGACTGTGCGAATGTATGAGAGGTTTGACAACTCTGCCACGCTGCATCTCCAACAGATTCATGCACAGACCGCCACCAGACAGCATCAACAAAACCTGTTCTAGCATGCCGGCCAGTGGGCCAGCATGTCATCAGTGCCAGTATCTCATAAATAACAACAGCGAACTTTGGGCTGTTTATTGATTGTATTTTCATGTGAGATCCTACAAGGCCCACACCACTTTTGTCTGGATGGCGCTTGCACCTTGACCCTTAAGTGCTGTGCAGCATTTCGGAACAAAGAGCAGCAGCAGCAGCTCACAACAATGCTTCACAAACACACAACTCACCATTGCACTCGGGATTTTGGTCTCCTGAAAACGCTGCACTGCTCATGTCTTCAATGCTCGCCATTATCCAGTCGAAGAACGATGAGACACGCGTGTAGACAGCGGGCTTTTCCATGTCCCCACATCCCTGTTCGGGCCCAAAAGACGTGAGGCCAACGATCACATCGGTTCTGTCCCCATCCTTGTTTCTGCCATCTCCAAATCCCGCTTTTGTCAGCAACGGGCCACCAGAATCTCCTGCACAATGCATGCCACACCAGGAAAGATGCAGGTTCGCCAATTGCATTGACCAAAATGTGGCAAAAGGAGCCAGAAACAAGGTTTGAAAGGCATTCACAGGTCACTTTGGAATGCCACACTAGCATGCACCACTGCTGTGGTAGCAGCATGAAAGACGAAAATCGGAAACAGATCCAAGCAACCACCCTTTCAGTAACAGTGAATACATGACTTGGTGAGCTGGTTACAATGGCTTTGCCCCTGCTGTGTCAAAGCAGATGCTTCATACAGAGTGTGAAAAGAGGAGGAAACTGAAAGCAACATTGAGGCAAATCGTACCCTTGCAGGCATCAGATTCGGTGTCGAATGCACACATCATGGTGTCAATTATCGGCAACCCAATTGGCTCGTACAGCTTTGTGCATTCCTCGTTGGTGATGTATGCTAAGAAATCGGTCTTCTGCAATCTTCTGGCTGGCAGTGATCCATTGCCAAAAAGCCCAAAGCCGATTGCGGTCAGTTCAACCCCAACCTCCAGTCCAGGGTCGCTGTCAACTTTTGCTTGAACGGCTGACGAAGAGCCATTTATCATGAGGAGGGCAATGTCAAAACCTTGCGTGAGATCTCCTGTAAACTCTGGGTGCACCACCCTCTTGCAAGCTTTGAAAACCTGCAGCACTGCCACATGTCGTTCTTGAGCAGCTGCAATCAGCAGTGACAGCATCACACAATAATATCTAGTCGATGCAGTGGGTGCCATCTTTTGATTGCAAGTCATTAGCTAAGCAGTACTTGATGCACAATAAACTGTAAAAATCAAAATGTTGTACAGCTCAAATCCTCAATATAGCACACCAAAATCAGCAAAGCCGATCTTTGATGGTGTCAGACAATGGGCCACCATCAGGTGGCATTATGTCTAGTTACATGACCAATTCTGGGCTGGGACAGTGTTCTTTGCCTCTGCCGTGACAGCAGCTTTTTGAACAGACCTGCCAGGGCATTGTCTAGCCGCCACTGTAATTTATGTAAGGGTGGCATGGGGACAGCTGGAAAACCACTCGATTGACATACAACACCGCTTTGGGCATTGTGGGCATGAGTCTTGGCAGATTCAGTGCCAACATTCCCTGAAAGGGGGCTGTGTGGAGTGATGAAGTACTGCCACTGCCCTAGCTGGGGAATGCTGGGCAGGAAATGAGTTCAGCCGGCAGGTAAACTCATCCCAGTGGCTAAGGCAAAGGTGTCTGTTATGCTGGCTGAAACTGCAACAGCTGCTTTGTCAACATAATGCAGCGTCGCCAATGGCCTCGCAGATTGGTATCAACAGCAAGGGTAGTGATAGGGGAAGGAAGTGCTGACTTGGAAGAGCATGTTCATGTTTTGCACCGATCATTTTCAAAAGGAAATATTGAATTAGGGACACAGGCAAAGCACTGCTTCCCTCACACAGCCTGCTGGCATGACTGCCATCCAGTGTTGAACAGGGCCAAGGTGGCAGGACAGACTGCAATTCAGGAAAAATTGCTTCCATGCCATCCGACCCTATGAACGCATTTTATGTTTTTGCATCGATCGAACTTGGCAGGCTGATTCACAGGGGTCCAAAAACAGAAGTGTGGGAAACAGTATGCCCCACAAAGTTGTTTTCTGAGGCCACACCTTGTCCATTTTTAGTGCATTTTAACGCCTGCAGGGTACAAGGCACACATTTGACCCTCGATGGGTACATGACTATACAAACTGATGATACAACAGTCAGTATTGCAATGAATAGTGGCACGTGCAATTCCACTTTAAAATTCATCGATGCAACAGGAATTATCATCAAAAGGAGAGACGACCCCAGCAACCAAGGAGAATTGCGGCAGCATTTACCCACCTCCACTATTTCATTGGGCTTCGCTTTGCCATTCAACCTCTCAACTCCACCCACTCGCATAGTTGGGAACTGCGGAGGGGCATTACTGTTAAGTGTCTGCTCCACACAGTGTGCAGCCGTGATTACAACGTTTGGGGTTATCAATGCACCACCACAGAAGTGATCCAGGAAGCGGCCCCTTTGGAGGGTCACCATATAAGGAAATTCCCCTGGCTCCGCATCGTCCCCACCCTGCAGCCAGGAGGGAAGGAAGGGGGCAGTCAGTTCAGCAGAGAGCACTTACTCACGGATCTACCCTTCCCGCAGATTGGTTCACTGCCACGCATTTCATTTCACACACAGGAACGGGGTCAGGGGGGGCAACAAATGACATCGGTGCGACCTGAACCTCCATGCACAGTGTCCTTCAGCTTCGTAATGATGCAACAGTCCTTTGGCTGTTTAACACAGGTACATTTCACTGATTCCATGCCAACTTATTGTGCACTGTGATGTCATCTTCAATAAGAAGTGCAACAACTCCTTGTTCACAGGATGAGAGCCCATCGTTTCATATGTCTGCCAAAATGAATATCGGGTGTCTCCAATTCGCACATCAAGTCCAGGTACACAGCTTCATGACCAACATCGCGACACACTTACAAGGATCAACCCCTCAATGCCCTGTGCATTTGTCCTGCAAGCTCCCTGATCTACAGCAAAACGTAAGCAGCCCAGTTTGTCAGGTTCCTGGAGCGATGGAGCTGGATGCAAGTCCCATCCTTCTGTCTCTGTTTAGCACCCCTTTTGACAACAGCACACCGCCAGTCACCTCAGTCGTGAGCTGATCCCCCCCTTTTCGATTTTCATTCCGGATGCCAACAATCCAGCCCCTCGAAGAAGAAATTGCTGCCATCTGAAAGGTAATGCTGTTGTCAAATTGTCCCTGCTTTGATTTGGGATTGTGGACAATCGTGCATGGGGTGAGGACGATTTTGTCTTAAACGCTGAACAGACTGTATGGCCATAGAATCTGACACGCGTTCGATTTTGTTACGTGTCATTGCAAGTATTTGTCAAAATTCTGGCTGCCAACAATCCACCTTTTCTGCGAAGCCAAACTGCGGCCACCTGAAATGTGGTGCTGTGATGCAGATTGTGCAAAAGACGCCGAACCAACTATATAGCTGCTATAATCTGTACTTGTGCAATTTTCTCCCAGTGATCTTGTGCCAAAAGCCAGGAAGAGGAAGAAAAGCTATGCATTTGCAAGAGTTCGTCGAGATGGCAGGCTTGTGTGCAGTCTCAGAGCACACTTTTTTGGATCGTTGCTGTACGTCGTTTTCCCTGACTCTGCCGGCGCCAGAAGCAGGTGTGTGCAACATGTGCAACATCAAAACGGTACCACGTTGCCACTGCCCTGCAGAATGTACTGTCACAGATGCGACTCATTCAACTGGAATGCAACGGAACCTATATAAGTCCATACCAAATCATATTGAATCTGGTACCAAACTGCCTCCATACCAAATGAATTGGAACTTGCACCAAATAGTACCAATTTGCCAACGTATGAAATAAAGTTGAAACTGAAACCAGTAACAACGCATATTGAATCTGGTATCATATTCGTGCCAGTACCAAAAATGTTCAATGGTGTACCAGAGAATGTTGAACCCGTACCAGTTAGTCATCAAAACATCGCCGCCATAAGGGCTGATCAACCCCAAACCCTGAGCCCTGAAACCAAGCGCAAGCCCAATGCTGGTCGCAGACTATTATTCGATGACACATTGGTACTGGTTCAACATTTTTTGTTGCACCATTCAACACTTTTGGTACCGGCGCGGATTTGGTACCAGATTCAACATCCGGTACTGGTTTCAATTTTATTTGGTACGTCGGCAGTTTGGTACCAGATTCAACATTATTTTGCGCTAGTTCAATCCTATTTGGTATGGCAGCAGTTTGGTACCAGATTTAAAATTATTTGGTACGGTGTTGAGTATGCGCAGAATGCAACATGCCCATCGCCGCAGCAGCACGAGCAGGCAAAAGCCTGGGCCTGAAGGTATCCTCTCCAAACTAGTGGGCCCCCAAAATCGAGCCGCGTTGCAACCCCACAGTCCACACGCCAATCCACACTCCAACAACACGGCAATTCGCCCGATGGCCGACCGCTGCCCGCAGTACACGCGCAGCAGCTGCACACGGTCGACGCGCCGCGCGAGGAAAGGCCAACGGGCCAACTCCCGGGCGAGCGAACAAAGGAACAAGCGCGGAGCGACCCCTGGGCAACGATCAAGCCCGCCACCTTTGCACTTCCCATCGCGGCACGGTGTGGCCCATCCACTGGCCCCTCTACCTGCCGTTGCGCTAGGCGACTTCCCAAGCCACCGGTGGCACCACCCAAGATGCGGCACTTCGCAGCGGAGCACAAAACCCAGCGCCGTGGCATCCGGCGCAGATCCGGGAACGGCGTCGGCGCCAGCCACGGGGCAATGCCGGTGTGCGCGTGGCTGCAGAGTTGAACTTTGCCATTCCGAAGTCACACCTGCGGGGATGCGGCCTGCAGCAATGACCACCCACATCCCGGCGGCGCCGCCTCGACGCAAATGCGAGCGACCTCAGCCCTGGGCGCCGCTCCGGGCGGCGAACACACGGGCTGATAGCGACGCTGCCAAGGACGCCAGGTCACACCGCCCCAAACCACAGACCCACCTCTCCCACCCCCGGGCCCCACTTCGCCCGAAAACTCTGCATCATCTCCCCACGGCATGGACAAGAGTCCCGCGAATGTCCACTTAGGAGGGGATGCCCTTCGCATGACCCGTTTCTCTTTCCCTTCGTTACAAATCTTATCCCCCACCCATCCCCTTCCCCCCCCCTGCGGCAGGGATCCTGGCAAGGCAGAACGCCCAACTGGACGCGGTTTCCAGAAGCTGTGACGGCGATCGGTCGACGCAGCAAGCGGCCACTCGGCGAAAGGGCGCCCTTCGTGTGACCCCTTTCTCTTTCTCGTTGTTACAAATCTTATCTTAACCCCCCGCCCCCCCCTGTGACATGGCTCCTGGCACGACAGGACGCCCGACTGGAGGCGACTTCCGACTGCTGTAATGGCGATCGGCTGACGCAGCATGCGGCCAGGCGACGAAGGGAAGGCAAGGGCAGCAGCGGGCGGCTGCGCTCGGCGGTGTGCGGGCACCCACCGAGCAGGCCGACGATCAAGAGGCAGGCGGCGAGCAGACCGCGACGATGACGCCGTGGCCCGGTGATCCCCATCGCGCGACAGGGGCCCCGCGCGTTGTTCGCCTCGACGCTGGGGGGCCCCACCGATTCGCGTTTGCCTTCCCACTGCGCTTCCCTCCAAGCCGCGGGAGACATCGGCCCGTCGCAATGGGGGGCAAGTGGTTAGTCAGAGCACTGGGCGTTGGCATGCAAGAAGGAGGGCGATGCGGTGCAATGAACGTGGGGATGGAGCAAGGATTGTCATGACTGCAGCGTCCGTTGTTGGGTAAAAGCAGTTGCCTTGCGTTTGGATTAAACTTGCGCGTTGATTCAAATGTTGTAGGTGCTGTAATTCCTTGGCGCATTCCTGGGTGCGAGCACACGACATCACGTTTGTGTCAAAAAAGCCCTGCCATGTACAATCTTTCTTCACGAAACCTCAAACCGTTCCCAACCGTATACGGTTGCAACTGTGTAGTTGTAACTGTGGACGTATACTGTGGCCAGCAGACCTTCATAGCGAGCCTGAAGGGCCTCTCGCAGGATGGCTGGTGACAGAAAATATAAATAATCCACAGTTCTGATTGCTGTATTAGAAAAGGGTTGGCTTATAGGCTCTTTTGAACGAACCTCCAACGCGGGCCACCCACAAGAATCGACAGCGGCTGTCAGCCGAGTTCATGCGCATTCCTCTTGCCCTCCGTAAGGCCACAATCTGCCATGGGAGAGCATTGCATGGAGCACATCGATTTGTTCAGCGACGAAGACAGAACCGGGCAATGGGCAGGAGCAAACACTCAGACGTGTTCGACACCACATTGTTGAGTTCCGTCCGTTGCTAAGTTCGCCATTCAATATCAACAATAGCAACATGGGCAAGGTGTGGCATGCTGGAGTGAGGGATGGTCTCAAAGGGACGCTGTGTGGTTTGGACTCGTCCGACAGCAAACACTTCATTCTTCTTCTGGTTACCCATCGTCACAAGAGCACCAGCAACGCCCATTACATGGCTCGTGGCTCGGCCATCGAAACAAGTCATGTCCCACTTGCACACCCAAATATCTTCTCCACTTGCGCCTTAGCCAATGAAAGAATGAATGGAAAGAATGCCTTCCTGAACCACAGATTGTCAGGAATTTGAGGTCGTCAACCACACATACCCCAAAAAATTGAATCCCAAAGCGTTGGAAAGCTAGGCCGGGACCTTGCCAGCAAAACGTGGTGATTTTCCGTACACCACCTCCTCGAAGCGTGCCACCTCGCCCACGGATCCGTAGCAGACTTCTGCCCTCTGGTCATAGGTGTTGATGTCGATGTCCAACGCAGACACCAGCCTGCCATCGCAGCTGCTGGCACCTCCGGCGTTCTCCACCTGTGCGCCATCGGACAAACTCAACTGTCGCTATCGCGTTCTTTATCTCACAAAATGACAGAACTACACAACTCAGCCGATTGTTCCATCCTATCACACCATCGACCCTGTCTAATCTGCTCTTTGGGCCCTGTTCTGATCGCACTAAAGACACTGGCACAATCTCTCAGACAGCAAATGGCAAACTGTGTCCAATGAAAACAAACACAATGAACGAATTAACAAAAAAAAGAAAGCAACACGGTAGAACGAAAAAACAGTAAACGCGCTTTCTGGGACTCCCTAGAAGCTTTGTGAACTCTACCGAAACAGCAAGCTTCCCAACAGCTCTTGTTTACATAGTCCAGTGAAGGATCCATCCAAAACAATCCTGGGCCTGCACTCAGGCATAAATACTCACCAAGAGAGCCAAAGGCGCGACCTCGAACAGGATGCGCAACTTGGCCTTTGTGGATGGTGATGTGACATTGCAGAACACGCCCTTCTCCTTGACGATGATCTGGAAAACGTCTGGCACCATGCCCCCTGTGTACCGCAGGGTGTACTGCTCCCCAATGTAGTAGTTGACGAGCTTCTCATAGTTGGGGTTGTCAAAGGTAGCTCGCAAGTTGCCGGGGGCGAAAAGCTTGCCTTCGCCTGTTCAGTGCAAGAGATGGTGTCGACCCAGCGGCACTCCAAGTGCAAACAAGTTGACCTGCTGCTGGCAACAGCAGCAGCAAATTGCACACATGGAGGCCCTCCTGTCGGCTTGGGAAATAGTGCCACACACAGTGAAGCGCCACAGGAGCAAAACTCGTGGACGTGAACAAACTGTGAACATCACCAGTAAAGGCATGGACACTGCATCTATTTTGATAGATGGCACAAGATCCAAGTTTCTGGGTGAAACCACTAAATGGACATTTCGGGCACGCATCAGACTATGCAAAGCATACCGATTTCCTCTGTCTCCTTCACGTGGAGCCACTTGCCATCCTCCTGCAGCAAGAACTCGTGGGTGCCAGGGCATCCCTTGATAGCAATGCAGTACACAGTCCTGGGACCATACACGCCCAACCCTGCAGCAGCCTGTGCACATCAAATAATACATGGTGTCAAACCAGAGCCTCCCTTGAGAGAGGATGCCCAGCATGGTCCCCCTTTACAACATGTTTCAATTCTGCTCCAAAGGCAACCTTAGAGTCAAGCCACAAAGGTCCTCATTCTTATGTTATGGTATTTCTGCAATTGGCACGTTTTGAAGGCATTGCAAAGTCCTCATAGCTCGCCAGAAGAAGTGATGATGCATCAAGATCCGATCTCAGGAAAGAGGCTTGTCGATTTTCTTGTTGCTGTATTGGGACACATTCATTGACTGGCTTGATGCACGACACCTCCCATTATGAGGGAAGGGTGGCAAAAAATCAACAGGCTAGTCCTTGCCCAAAGCTTCCACCCTCGTGGGAGTCGCTGTCCTTGCTCAAGTACCCACAACCACGCACCATGTCCGATCCCTTGATCCCTTGGAGCTTAGCTCCAGGCCACACTCCGAAGATAGTGCCAACAGCAAAGTTGGTGTCCACGATGGAGCTCCCATCCAGAGGATCGAATGCCACGCTGTATCCCG